AAAAGAAGATTTGAATTTCTTTTCATTCTATGAGCACTTACATTTTTTCCTGATCACTTCTAGTGTATAGCAATAGTTAATTGCTAAGAGTAGAACAATAATCACAGCTGTCCACTCAGAATTGAACTTCTAAAACCCAAAATATTTTCCATCCTTGCCCTTTTTTAGAATATTCTTTTCCAAATGCAATTTCAAGTCTATGAGCAAATTACAACTCAGCATGTGTCTTCTGCAATAATTCAATGGATAAAGGATTTAAGGGATAATTCTCCCGGCAATGCTTGTTGTACTGTGGACAGTATTGTCCACCTGATGAATCAGTCTTATTCTTGCATTTGGGTTGCATCACTCAGATACAATTTTTCAGAGGAGCAGTCCTCACCATTTCCACAAAATCAGACCCTTTTGCAGTGTTTAGAAATAGGTACACAGAAAAACTGAGCTATCCCAAATCAGGAGACACTTCTGATTTTGTAGGTTTATATACTTATTTCATGAAAAGTACCCCCTCTATTTTGAATCAAATACTCCATACAGGATTAAGTTCCCCAATTATTCACAGCTTCATCCATTTCATTACAATACTTGAATATTCAGCTCTCTGCATTGGATTACTAAGATCCTAAACATCTCAAAATGCTTTCTAACACCTTCTTTTTTAGAGTTTATATCTGTGATGTGAGATGGTCAACTTTAGTCAAAAAAGAAGAGGATAGTCTGAGTTTTTCAGCAATATTTCTATTAGGCTTACTACTGCTTTTGAATTTTTGTTTTATACAAGGAAGGTGGGTTTTTAATCTCGGTTGGCAGCAAACAGGTGAAAGAATGAAGGGGAATAAATACAGCTACGGATTACTCTTATCAGGCATTCAAAAATGAAATGTAAAGCCTTTAAAAGTCGATTGTGCTGATGAAAATCCTCCTGCAAATCTATGAAACAAACTCCAAACAAATTCACATCTAGAGCTCTTAGCATCTTCACCCTTTTCCACCTCTGGGTTCAGTTTCACATGTGGTTGTTTAAATCAGCAAATACACAAGGCACACACTGGAAACTACCCAGACACTGCATGTTGAAGCTTCATCTTTGCTTGGTAAAGCAATGTTCACATCTCGCCATGAGGAGCCATCGTAGGTGATTGTCTAACATGCTGTGCAGCGTATGGCCAGGGCTGGTCCCAGAGCTTGCACCTACTTAAGGGGGCAGGTTGGAGCTCAAGGAAAACATAACGTAGTGTTGCTGACAGAGGTCCTGAAGAAGAGCAAATCCACTCCCAGAATTTTAAATGGCTCTAAAGCTAGAAATTAACATTTTAAATCATAAATCTGGCATTCTGTTAGAGAATCACAACATCGCAGAAGGGCCGAGGTTGGGAGGCATCTCTGGAGATCTCCCAGTCCCACCCCCTGCTGAGGGCAGGGTCACTGGAGCAGGCTGCTCCGGGTCATATCCAGTCAGGTTTTTGAGTATCTCTAAGGATACAGACTCCACAGCCTTTCTGGGCAACCTGTGACAGCACTCAGCCACCCTCACAGAAAAAAAAAAAAAAAGTGTTTAAATGAAATTTGCTATATTTCAGTTTGTGATCGTTGCCTCTTGTCCTGCCACTGAGCACTCCTGGGAAGAGTCAGGATCTATATTCCTTCCCCCTTCCCCCCTCAGGAGTTTATACACACTGATAAGGTTCCCCTGAGCCTTCTCTTCTTCAGGCTAAATAATCCCAGCTCTCTCAGCTACTCCTCACATGGCAGATGCTCTGACTCCTCTGCCATCTTTTTGTCCCTTTGCTGGACTCACTCCACTATGTCCATGTCTCTCTGTACTGTGGAGCTTAGAGTTGGGCACTGCTGTGGTCTCACCAACGCTGAGGAGAGAGGAAGGGTCACCTCCTTTATCTGCTGGAGAACCTCTTCCTAATGTTAATCAGCTTCTGGTTTTCAAACTAGATCTCTTTGGTTCTTATTTTCAAACTTTCTTCCCTAACTATGAAGGGGGAAAAAAATCATGCAAGAAAGCAAGTTTTTTAAAAAAGCCCACAACCCCACAACAGAAAGACCAAGCAGAGGATGTCAGACAGGGCCTTGGATCCCAAGCCCAGGACTCTAAGAAATGTCACATTGCCACAAGACTTGTAATAACTTAAATATGTGGCACTATAGCTGTTGTCATTCAGCCATCCTGGCCTTGATTGCGCTAGTTCTTCTGTGGGGAAGCATCAGCCATCTGAGGCACAGCTGGCACCAGCTATGCTGGTTCCTGATTTCTCTTTGCACTCCAAACTTCCCCGTAGCCTACAGAAAGTTCAGAGTAATTTCCTTGGCTCTTCGGGTATTTGAGCCTGTGGCACTTGTTCTAGGCTGGCATAAGGGAATCTGAGAGAAGAGTTTGGCCTTAGACTGTAGGTGGAAACCTGTATGTGTGTGTCATGGAGAAATTGAAGGGAGGATGGATGTAACAATGTCTTGATCACTTAATGTAGGGAACTAATCAAATAAGGAAGTGTCATGGAAGAGTAGACCAGGAAGAACAAAACAAAATGATTTAGCCAACATATGGTTCATTGCAGCAAGAAACTTCACATTTTCAAGAGGCTTTCCAATATTTAGAAAAGTGCAATAATAGGCTTATGTGAAGAAAGGCATGAGGGTAGGCATCATGTGATGTCTCTGATAAAAGAAATGTGTAATTGAGCTGGAGCGGAGGTGAAGGCTCTCCCTGTACATACAGTGATATTACATTCTTTTCCACTTGGATGCCCTCTCCAAGCACACTAATCCATGGATCTGGAGAAGAATAATCTACCCACAAACAATTTTTTGGGATTTTTTTCCTGGATGAGCCAGTTTGTTCACTGAGAGGTGAACTCTTAACTCTTTCCTTACTAAAGGGGCCTCAATGATTGAAGATTAGTTTGTTCACAAGCAATAAGCAAGCCTGTGCTTCTACCTGGCTTCCTGATGACATGAATATGTACCTCGAGCTACAGAGGACATTAAAGATGTTATAAGGTAGATCACCACTCCAGTTAACATGTAGGTAAAGGAACAAGCACAGACTCTTAAAATTAGCTGAAACAAAGAGAGAAAACTAAACTGTTTTGACTGTGATCCATGTTCAGATCTATTCCCTGGAGGTTAAATACAGAATTCCGGGCAAAGCCAAATTCTAACATAGATATTCCTCGCTTTTACAAGATTAATTCATTTCTTTTTCCAACCACAAATGCCTTGAAGCTAGGATTAAAAAGGCCATTGTGCTTTGCTAGTGCTCACTCCTCCAAGTGCTGACAAAGCCCCATTGTTCTTCCCAGGATGAGGAGGAGGAAGGCTAGGGAGCAGGGTGTGGGCCAGCACAGCCTCACAGGGAGCTTTGAGGGTTGTTTGCATCCAGTCACTTCTTTGCATGACAGAACAAAAATTGTGCAGCTGCTATTGTAACGGAGAGAATTTGGATGGTAGCTGGTGTATTAGTACATTCTGCATCCTTACAATGTGCACAGGAAAACAATTTTGTAATTCGAAAATGGCTTGATGCATTTATTGGAGAGATCTGTGTGGTGGTGTTGCCTTGTGCGAGTAGGAGCTTGGGTCAGTGACTCAGTTCTTTCAGTCCCTGACCAGTGCTTGACAGATCTTCCTCTCAAGTAAGCCCACCGTGGACATGCTACTGCACTGTCTTCTAGAAAGGACATGAAGGTGCATTCTGAAGGGAAGAGTGGGCTCTGCCTCTTCTGCAGTCAGTCACATGCAAATAGTATCCTTGGCACTCAGAAAAAACAGCCCAGGAAGCACTCCTGCCCCTGATCAGGCCTGACCAAGGACTGCTCAAGGTCAGTGTGGACGTCTGTTGAGTTCTGTACATGGCAACAGTTTGCAAATCTCCCTCAGAAACCTCAGGCCTCTATGACAAAGATGAGTGTGTGTGGACAAGGTTTCTCCCTTGTGTATCTCTGCAGGAACAAAGGCATGTTTAAAGGGAGGAGAACAGAAAAAGCAGAAAGACTGATGGGATAGGGGAAAATGTGGTGAATGCTTTTGTTACAAATAGAGAGAGACCTATACAGGCACTGGCTGCCCTGCTGACCTCCAGGCTCGGGACATCCTCAGCCACACTGCTCTGCGGTTTGATCCACCTGCAGGCAAGATGGACATGACCATTCCCACCAGGGAAGGGGAGCGTTTCCAAAGAGAACTTCTCTTTTGACCCTTGTCTCTAGCACTGCTGAGTTAATTTTGTGTAGAGGTACAGTGTCCAAGAACCTAATTACTAATTAAAATCTCATATAGCAAGTTTCTCCCCAAGGGTAAGTAGCATTTTTATAACTCTCCTCCCGTACAAACATGTGCACACACCTCCTGTTTTGTTAGTGCCTGACTGGGTGTTCCCCTTGTAGGTTCATCCCAGTAACAGATAAAAGGGATTGTCAGACAGGAATTAATGAGTACCGCTTCCTTCCACTGAAGCCAGGCAGAACAATTCCAGTAATGGTTTGCAAAATGTTAATCATTTTAATTTGTAGAATGCAGACATTGACTTGCATTGCCAAAGGTCCTGTATCCCACCCTTGTTGGGGTTGTACTTTTCCCTTCCATTTCAGAATGGTCCTAATCCCAGTATGGACAGCCATAAGAGGACAAACTGTACCCCAGTTTCCTACATGCCCACCTCCTGGCTCCCTGTGCAGAGACTGGGCCAGGTCTTCTCTGTTTCTAGTTGTTCCATAGTCTCTCTCCTGTCTCTCAGCAGACCTGTCTTCTCTCCAGCCATAGCAGAGCTAAGCCCATGTTTTTTCTCCAGCTCTTGGATCACTCTTGGATTTTATGATGGACCACCCTTTGGCCCTGGATATTCTCCCCATTTCAGTTCACACCACTTCCTGCCTGAGGTCCCTAGCCCAGAGAAATGGTCATCTCACTCCTGAAGAACTGCTGCCTTGGAGGCAATAGAATTTGATTATTGCTCAGAGTGTAGAGAAAAGTCATAAAACATACAAGCAATGATGCTTTACCTGGAATTTGGAGTCATCGGGAGTCAAAAGAAGGGGTAAATTGGGGAAAGGGACAAATCATGTTTGTGGAATCTTTTTCTTTGCAATGAAGAGTCATCCCAGCCCTGCATTCTTCTGGCTGGGGGTGAAAGGGCAGGCTGAAATTTCAATGTTAAATCCATCCCATGACTTGGTGCTGTGCTAGCTCTTGCTGGGAGAGTGGCTCGCAATACTTGCCAGCCTGGAGCTCCTAGTTCTGCTCATTTTAAATTAAATGCCTCATTTCCCAGCAATCTTACATGATGGCTTAGTCCCCCACACAGCTTACTGCTCATTTCCCACCTCCAGCCTGGCACAGGAGACACATACACATTGTTTGCTTAATATAAAATCCTAGCTAGAGAAATTACTGTCATATCAGGCAAATGGACACAAGAAAGCATTTTCTGCTTTTTGCTTACTTCCCTGTCTTTTTGTGTGCTACCCCTCCTGGCTTTGAAGGACAGAGACAGCTGCTGATGGAAAGAAGGAGACAGATTTTCTTTATTATTCCATCAGGACAGGACACAGAGAAGCACTTGACACGAGAGAGCATCCCTTGAGGTGGCCAAGGCCTGACTGGGCTGTCACGGTCGGGCTTTCCATGAGGATGCCCATTGCCTTGCTGAGGCAGCATCCCCAGTGAGCAGGGAAGCGCAGAGCAAAGCAGTAATAGGGCTGGTGGCTGTTGTAGCAGTTGATAAGTAATAGGCTTAGCCTGCTGTTTCCTTTCTTGTCACTTCCATACTCATTTGTTAAGGTGGATGGCAACATGTCAATTAGCCTCCGGTCGCTATGGAGTTTCTGGTATTCCAAGCGTGGCCATGTCCAGCAGCATCTGCAAAGGCACAGTGGCTGCAGTTGCAATTCTTTATGCGACAGAGTTTTCTGGAAACAAGAGCTGGGGTCAGGAACCTGACATCAGGTATGTCCATTGCAAAACTCAAAATCAGAGGAACTATGCCAGGTTTGCACTACTTATCTGAGATCAAAATATGGGCATTCGTTCTAAATAAAAAAATATCGGACTCTCTTTCTGGTAAGCCAGCCAGCTGGTCAAAATTGCATAAACACATTGCAACCAAAACATATCTCCGTAGTTGTGATTTTTTTTCCCTGTGCCCATGACTGGATGTCACCTCTAAGGGGCAGTGTGTGTGTGCATTACACGGCAGGGATCAGACGGGCAGAGATAACACACTGCTGAAATCATTCTGCAGTGGCAAGTTGTTTTTCTGGCTGAGAAATAAGACACAATATATAAAGTTGCTTTAAGGACAAGAACAACAAACATGCCGCATAAATAATGTAAAGCAAGAAAAAAGTCCAGTACTGTTTAGAATATTTTATGAGAAATTTATTGCTGTTAATTGAAGGGGAGAGATTGATCACTGAGGAATCTAGCTCATTACTTAACAAAACCTGGATAAATGGTGTGTCATTTCTCTGTTCTGCTTAGTATTCTCCTTCTGAAGCCTTTCTGTTTATGGGGAAAAAAAAAAAAAAAAGAAAAAAAGTTTTCCAAACCAGATACAATGAGATGCCCCAGGTCCCCCCCTTCCGTTCCCACATAAATACATTACAGAATAGAGACAGGCAGGATAGGATTCTCTCTCCTTCCTTTTCTTTACCCGCTCCCCGACATTTTGAAATGCCTGTTGAACCTCAGAACATAAGAACAAGGGGGGCCAAAAATGGAGGAAGAGAGGAATGCCCTGTGCTGTGCCCCATATTCCCTCCGCTCAGGGCTTCCCGTGGTGACATGCAGCAGAGGATTAGGATGCTGCGTGCTCCAGGCAGCGCGCTGCGATGCTGCTGGCAGGTGCTTTGCCGAGGAGCCCTGCCAGCTATCGATCCGGCGGTGGGACTCACCTCAACGCAACAGTGCTCAGGGCCTGATTCTCACCAGCACGACACTTTTGATAACAAGGACGCCTACGTGAGGTGCTTTAAAAGGTCTTTGCTGTTAATTTGGTGAGGAAAGAAGCAGGGGGAGGTGAAAAGCCGTCATGTTATGCTCATTTTATTCCTTTTTTTTTTTTTTTTCTACTTTCATATTGGATGTGGTCTCCAGCTTTTGAATAGATGCCTGTAATGAGCTGGCTCTAAACAGAAATACTATCAGAATTAAAATAAGACAAAATGAACTTGGACATGCACAGGGATGCTGATTATATCCAACCCACTGAAGCCACCCTCTGCTGCCTGTGTAATATTCATTTTCCAATTATCAGCACCAGGCAAGTGAAATTAAAGGGCACCGAGAGTCTAACCTTGCTTTTATCATGCTGAAGTTGAGAGGGTTGGTCAGCTGAGAACTGCTGAATTGGGTCTCAGCAGGCATGGAAACAAGTGAGAGGGTTCCATCACCCAGCAAACAATCCCTGAGCCGCGCAAACAATGCTGCAATGGCACTGGACAAGGTCTGGGCAGGACCAAGCTGGATGGATACAGAGGAAGCAGGGCTCTCCAGGAGCACAGTGATATGCTTAGTCTCCTGTCCCCTCAGCTGCAGAGACATCAGCCCTAGACGGCAGACACACAGGACCACACATGTCCCTGGGTGAGCATTACATTGCCTGATCTCATAGCAGCAAGATAATTTTCAAACAAATCTTGATTTTACTATGTGTGTTTTTAAAAAAATCCCCAAAACGCAAATTATTTCAATTTGGTCTTTTTTCTAACAAAACATTTTGATTTTCTGTTGCCAGCATGACATTTTTTATTTTTGAAATTCCGTTATATTTTGAACTTGTTTATACAATGTACAGATCAGCAAAACTACCTGAATACTAATTTTCATTCAGCACAAAGCAAAATTTTTTCCTCTCTTCAGCTCACCGATGTTTCATGTCTATTGTCAGCCTGAAAATATTTTCACCCCATTTTTTTTTCCCCTGGAACTGCTAATACATCAAAGTTTAACTATAGTTTCAGTGAACCTTTCTGCACCTCCCAGTCACTAAAGCACAGTAACACTTCGCAGGGTTCAGGTTTTACAGGATCCTCAAGACAGATCCTCTCTCTGGACATCTCCTAGCACCAGGGTCTCCTAAAGGCTAGGAGGGCACCACACAACAAAGAGCATTGTGATTTCTTTTTAAATGACATTGGATCATTCTTCTTTAGATTTGTCAGTGCCCCACAGTATAGTTCCTTAACAATTGCTTGTTAAACCCTTGGAGAGAGGACTGTCTATTTGTGTGGATAATAATGTGTGAAGTTTAGCTATGGGCAAATTTTTGAGGTTCTAGCTTTCTTGTCTTTCTTTTTTGAATTTCTACAGGGCTTCAATGAAAATCAGGCCTAATTAAGTGTGGGATTTTTTTTGTCTGTGCCTTGGTTATTGCAAAGAAAATTCAAGAGTTGTAAAGGAGAACAGCCTATTAAAAAGAAATCAAAGTCTTCTAAAGTACTTTTTCTAAAATATTCACCTGTCTCTTCTGCAAAATATTGCTGCAAACCTAAGGAAAATCCCTGAGTCTGAGCCACAGCACATGGCTGTTATTGCAGCCATACTAACTGCAACGGAAAGAATTACTTTGACTGACCTTTTTCCTTGGGCCTTCCAAGAAAGCTTCCAGAGTGGAAGTCAGAAGTCACAAGACGTCACCTGCAGGATCCTTTTAAACTTTATGGCTAGGATGAGGCTGGACATGGCTAGGAGCTGGTCACTGGGTGGAAAGGGGCAACGCGTTCCCATGGCTTGTCCTGACTTCTTACCTGCCATCGGTGTCCTCTGGCGTGGATGAGTCCCTGGTAGTGGGGTGGCTTCTTCTTGGTGGGCTGCATTCTCTGTGCTGAGGAGCAGTCCTCCATGCATCCCAGGGTCCTCCAGTGACCCATTGGTTTTCATGCCTGGCCCTCTCCACTGATTGTACAGAGACTCCAAAACCAGCGGCCCTGGAATTCAGGCACACCCATGAATCTCTCACAGATTTTTTGAGCATAAATGCTGCATTAGGCAGCTAAGTTTGCCTTCACCTTCACAGCTGACTGAATCCAGGGCCATCTGCCTCATGATAGAACCACAACATTGACATTTTACTGTGTTTTTTAGAAATGGGTTTAATCAAATGGTCACAAATAATTTGAACACTGGACAGCAAAATCCCTTTTTTTTCTGTGGCCCAGTGCTAGAGAAAACAGGTGATTCGTGATATGACATTATGCTCTTCATTTGCCAAGTGCTGCAAAGATTAGATTAAGCTGCTTGGGTACAGTATGTGTGGCTGAGCCAAAGCACTGCCATGGAAAATCCATTCCCTTCCGCTGCAGCAACGAGTGCACAACATCTCACTTTGGTAGCCCTAATGGTGCCGAGAGTCAGGCCGGTCATCGGTGGTCAGCTATGGGTCACTGTCCATGCCTCTGTATTTGCATGTCTGTGTGTGTCCCCTGGGTCCATTTATTTCACATCTAGCAGGATGGCCCTTCTGTGTCCTCATACATTTGCAGACAGTGACACAGAGCTGTGATATTCCCTTCCTCCACCTCCTCTGTGTTGAAATGGAGAGAATTGTAACAGAGTGGTTTCCAGCAGAGAACAGGAATCAAGCGCAAGGGACTGAACCTTCACATGTATTCATGACCACGCACACTTTTATGGACCCAATAGTACTGTCAAGCATTTCATGGGGCTTTCTATCAAGGACACTATATAACAATAAGTTGTATTGTACTGCACTTTCAGTGAATATATGAGGTAATTGGTGTGCAGTTCCCTAGACTAATACTGGAAGACAGGCACCTGTAGACAGAGAAAGTGAAGTTTAAAAATCTCTTTGCTGACTCCGTTCCCCCAGCTGGGAGAGCAAAGCACAGCCAGTAGCAGCCGTAGGTCAGTTGTTCTTAACCCTCTCCAAGCCTGGCTCACATCCCTCTGCTGCCTCCCTGTCTCACTTACTAGGATGGAGCTGGGGACTGGCTTCATTCAGCAGTGGAGAAAGGGGTGTATGTGTACACACCCTGTCCCTTTTTAAGTCTCAGAAGAAGAGGTTTGCCCTCTTTCCACAGTGCTGAGCTGAGGTGTAAGCCCCAGGGCACTAGGTGTTTAGCATGTAGAAGGCCAGGTGAGTGAGGAGAAATCCCTGTCACCTATAGTCATGGTCCAGGCTACTGTGAAGGACTGGCTGCTCCCAGACAGAATGCCACCCCCGGTAGTTCTCAAGGGCTGTGTAACACGTGCCGTCATAGCAGTCATGGAGTTCTTGGGGAACAGAAAGACCCATGCCTGCAGTTCTCTGAGCAGCTTCCGCAGGCCACCATGTGTGGTAACACAGGGGATTGTGGGGTCTCGGCAGAGAGCCACCCCCTACTTTCTCTGTAGCTACATTCAAATGAGATGCTCATCACAGGAGCCATTCAGGACCTGACCCATTGACTGCCACAGTCTGTCTAGGACTGTCTAGGTTAGCTCTTCTGGGCATGGTATAAATCCTTCTTGAACCCAGCTCTTGGCGCAGTGCATGGCCAGGAATTCTCCTGCTGCCGAAGTGCTGGATATGAGCTATATGGCTAGGAGGAATGCCGTATATTTTCTTGTTCTTTCCCACTCTGTGAGCCATCATAGAGCCATTTCACTGAGATGCTGAGTCCCAAACATCAGGAATGTGATTAGGTTGAGTCTTCCTTTCATATAGATTTCTTTATTATTATTTCCAGCACTTACCCACTTAACTTTGAACAATAGTATTTATGGAGAGCATGTCCATCCATACATAAATATTGCTGGTGATATGCCCAGGGACATCCACTTGCTAGGCAGCAGGACTTTAAAAATGTAGGCAGTGTATTAAAGCCCATCCATCGTGATTTATCTTCTGACTTAATCTCCACAGGAGAAGGCTATGCTGGCAGTTCTGCCATGCTCACAGTGGCTGAAGAGCAGCTTACAGTGTTAGCAGCACTGTGTACCATGGTAAAACTGCACTCAACGCAATCTATCACGCATTGCTGCCAGAGCTAGTTATGGATTCAGATCACCTACATGGGAATGTGAACTTGCACATCACTGGAGACCCAGGAGCTTTATTTCCACCACACTGTGTATGCAAGCCAGTCAGAGAGTGTCATTCTCTGACCAAGTGACAGAGAAGGTGCAAAGCACAAAAAAGGAGAGGAGACCTGTGACTCACAGAGATTTGTCCCTCATAATGCAACAATGATAAAAAGTAACAGCAGGATTTTCAAAGAAGCATGCTGAGAAAAAAAAGGAAAATGTTCTGTGGACATTCCCCATCAGATGTAGCACTTCATGGCAGAGCAAGAAGAGACATCGGACTGTAAACTCTCTGAAGTCAAGGGCAGTCTTTGCTGTGTAGCACCTTGCATAATAGTGAGCCAGTCCATGAGCTGTCTTCCTGGGTGCTACTCTAAAGCAAATGCTAATAGGTTAGGTAAAATAGCAAGCAAAAGTAAGTATGTTTGTCAGTCTGCCTCTATAACAAGGATGTATAGTTAGCCACTAGCAACATAGTAACTGTGTTGTGATAAGAAAAAATATGTACACAATATTTGGCATCAAACCTTTTTTTTTTTTTTAAGATGGCTGCAGTCTAAACCTCTCTGTATACCCTATTAACTATCATACTCTTCCATGTTATTGTTTAAGCATGTCTGAAGACAAATGTTTTATATTAATTCTAATTTCCCTTAAATTGTCTTAGTTCATGCTATCGAGCAAATTAATCCACCGAATCAAGGGCAATTCTTTCTGTTGGGCAGCTCATCTTGCTCGTTATTCATTTTGAAGGAGTGAAAATCCTTTATGTAACTTCATGCTTCTCTTGCTTGCAGTACTCCCTGTAAATACAAGGATTGTTTTTCTTCAGACACACACAATTGGGTTGGGATCTGGATGGAAATTGCCAGTGTAGCAAAGGAAGAGACAGATCTGTTTAACCCAAATCCAGAAGGAATCTAAAGTCCGTTTTG